CGGCGGCGCTGAGGGCGGGGGGGTCGCTCGATGGCGGCCGCCGCTGTGGGAGAAAACGGGGATTTTCCACCTTTCCCGGGCTGCTCCCCGTGCAGGTGCGCCCTGGCAGTTGGTATGTACGGCCTCGAGCGCTGCGGGGGCGGGTTGGGGCTCTGCGGGCCCACGGGCTCCTCCCGAGCCTGGTGAGGTGAGGCGAGGGTGGAACCAAGGGCCTTGAACCCTGGGCTCGGCTTCTCTCCCAGCAGGGACCCCCCGCTCCGGGATTCGGTTCCGTCTGGAAGGCGTTGGGCTGTAAGAAAGGGCCCGTGCGCTGAGCGGGAAGAGCGCCTGTGCTGGGCGTTGGAGTCCCCTGCAGATTCCGTTTGTTTGAAAACAAGAAAAAGGGTTTTCAGCAGCCAAACTAGATAACCTGCATTCCTGAGATACTGGAAAGTTTGTGTATGTTCATTAGCATGACACGAGTGCTTGCTCTCCAGGCTCTCCAGCCAGCACAGCGGCTCCTCAAGATGTTTATCTAAACAACCGCACTTTCAGGAATAGCTTTAGGTGTTTCTTTTTCTTTCCACATTATTCTTCATAATGTACCAAATTATGAAGTTAAAAAAAAAAAAGCCAAACCATTACCAAATTCCTGAGTTAAAAAAAAAAAAAAATAATTGCAGGTAGTCAGTGCTCTAGCTCAGTCTCCCTACTGCTGCTGTTAATCACGTCGAGAATTTAACGTGGCCTTTGTCATACCCCCAGCTCGCATCTACTTTGAGCTGTCCCTTAATTCCCAACCTTCTTGTTCTGTGCTTGTGGAGCAGCCCGGGAGCCTCCACCAGATCTCCTGACCATTAAGACAGGCAGAGTGAGTAGTTAGTGTGCTGGTACTGCCTTTACAGCAATCTCAGCACTGACACGTGGAATTTACTCGTTCCAGTAAAAAGCCTGAATTATGGGCCAGAAAACACACTTTGTAAATTAGAGGCTTCGTAGCTTAAACAGCACAGCAATCTGTGTACGGGAGGGCTGGAGGTATGTCCAGGTGGAGCAGATCTGACGCTGTTATTAGAGCAAGTCAGATAAACTTACATGTGCTGTTATTAAGTGCATGACTTGTACAGGAAATTGCGTGTTTATCTAGGTTATGTGAGCAGGACATTTCAGTTGCCTAAGCAGGGGTATCTGCTGCCATTTCAGACACTCAGCTGCCTGAGACATCAGCCCCGGGCTGGCTGGTAACAGCGCAGGACCACTACAGGCTGGCATCTCTCTTGGACTGGCATCTTTCTGGACTGGCTTCCCTCTTTCTGGTCATGGGAACACCATGGGGCATCTCAGATGACACCACCTGCCAATATTTGGGCACTTTTAGCAAGCCACGCTTGACTAGTGTGCAGCCTCATCCGTAGAAATGCTGCAGTGATGTGTTTTGACTAAGGGTACAGAAAATATTATTTCGATAGATTTAACAAAGATTTTCAAAGTGAGAAGTTGTGATCCTTCTTTATGAACTTACAGAAATGGTCATTTTAAGAGTTAGGTATGGGTGATGGAGCAGTTCCTTGGAAATTTTAGAAATACGAGATACGCTGCAGTAGTGCCCGTAAGTTTAATTATCCAAGTTTCAAGGATTAAATGATGCATCTCACTACTTACTTACGTTACAGCAGCTCACAGATTGCTAATCAAAATCAGTGATGAATAATAACATAGAAAAAAGTCAAACTGTGCATCAAAGACGGTCTAAAAGCCTCAGCCTCCGTGCTTATGCCACATGTGCAGCTTCCTGTCCCCAGCAGTGTCCGGCTGTGCTGGTTTCAGGAGAGCTCCATGTGGCAGAGGGATCTGCCTGGAGGATTAGTGTCTAAATGAGGCCACGCTGTAACGTGAGGCATTGCACACAGCAGCACGGATGGGCTGAGAGGCAGATGAGAGTAGCAGTTAGAAGATACCACGTTGCCCTAAGTAATTGTGAGTAAGGTTTTCAGGATTTAATTTAGAATGTTTAAAAACAGCCTTCTGGGTCAGACCAGTGACACCTCTAGCCCTGTCTCCGGCGGTGGCAACAGGAGATGCTCTTTGGGCAAGCATGTGAGCCAGGGTACTTGCCACTCTCCATTTCCCTCTCCAGCACCCTGAATATAGCAGAGATGTTAAAAGATGCTTCCTTGCCCTTTTAGCGGCCATTTATGGACCTCTTTGCCTGTGAATTTGTGTAGTCCCTTTTAAACTTGTTGATATTGTCTCCAGAGTCTTCTGTGACACCGGGTTCTAAGTCTTGTGCCAAAAAATACTTTCTCCTGTTTTAAACTAATCTTTTAGTTTCAAATTGTGCCTCCTTGTTTTCTGTAGAGGGATTCCGTGAGTATTGAGTCTGCTGCATTTACTTGTTCTACTGCCTTTGTGACTTTGTAAACCTCAGTAAGGTCCTTCTCAGCCACCTTCTCTCTAAATTGAAGCATCCCAGCCTTCTTGGTTGCCCCCCATTAGGGCAGCTCATCCCTCCCGTCCTCTGCACCCTCTGGAACTCCATCACGTGAGGTGTTGAGGCCAGAGCTGCCCTCCAGGTGCGAGTGGAACTGAGGGCTTTGGCCTCGCCTCAGTGCCCTTCCCAAAAGCAGCCAACCTTCAGCTGGCTTTTTTGGGCTGCCGTTGCACCCTGAGCCAGTGGCTTCAGAGAACTGTCAGTGACAGTGCTGCGATCTCTTGCCTGAGTTGCAGCTGACAGCTCTGAGCTCGGTGTCGATTTAAAATGTGTTTTCTGGTGGTTGTGAATTGCAGGTATAAAGGGTGACAAGTTAATAAGATATGACCAACCTGTTCCGGGAAAATAAGCTCAGGTGTAATTATTAACACATTTATGGTGCTTGTTTCTTTCAAAGGTTGGCATCTTTCCTAGTGTTACTCTTGGAGCAATAGAATACAACTCTGCTAGTAGATTTATACAAGAGAGGAGAATCCAAAGAAATATTTCCTGTCTTCTCAGTCCTCCCTTTTTGATATTGCAGTGTCTTGCTTTTGGCATAGCAGCACTTCCTGAGGGAGTCTGCATTCTCTGACTGTTGGGGTTGCTGAACTTCTTACAGAGGAGGCCCAGCACCAGCCCATGGGGTAAGGCAGCTGCTGAAACACCCAGTGGTATGGACAATGCTCAGCCAGCCACATGGCTTCTTTTTTTTTCTTTTTGAGATCTCCACCCAACCAGTGAACTTCATGTGACCCCTCTAACAGCACCACTGGTTTGTTTAATCAGTGATTAAGCTGGAATTTTACTTCCATTTCTAAACATACTCTGTCAGTCGTTACATTCCCTTTTTGTTTTTTAATAAAGCCAAGGCAATAGAAAAATACTAAGGAGGCATCACACATCTGTATTTGATGTGGTGGCTTGAGGGCTGAAGAGCAGAAGCTTTAAGCCCTGTGGAAAGCTTCTATTCCAGAAAGTGAGAAGATATGACCTAGTATCCCATAAACTGCAGTTGCTGTACAAGTGCCCCTGTCAGGTCCTGGAGCCCTTTCTAAGCTCTCGTCCTTTTAAAAAATATTTCTTGTTTTCTAACCTTCAGTGAGTGCAGTTGAATATCCCTAACGTTCCACGAGCACCTTCCTGAGTGGGAACAGCTAGCTTAGACCCCGTCGGTGTCTAATTATGGTTAGGCTTGATTGCCCCTGCATCCCTGTATCTGTCAGCACTGCGTTTTGCCTGCAGTTTGAATGCCCACGTACTGGGTACCGGGAGATCCTTCTCCAGCTCTTTCCAGTCAGTTTGGGTATTCAGAATAATTTGTATCATCCATCAACTTTGACACTTCATTGTTTACCTCTTTCCCCAGCTCCCTGATGAACGGGTTGTACCATTCCGGTCTCAGCACAAATCCATGCTTTATTCTAGCACTACACACTGGAGGCTTGTAAAGCAAAAGCTGCTGTTACTTCATGGTGAAAGAATCCCAACCTCCCTCCAGTCCAGCAGCATCAGTTCCTAGTGGTACTGACAGGACAGCCTGGTCTCTCCCGCTGTGTGTTGCGAGCCCCTTTTTGTCTGCAGGTAACTTTAACCACGCGGTTCCTTACTGTGAGCTCTTTCATCCTCGGACAGTCAGAGTTGCTTCTTTTTCTTGAATTACAGAATTCATTCTCACTCGGCCCTCTCGGGGACTGAGAAAGATATTGGATCTACCTGATGAACACAGTTATGGATTTCTTCCCTTTTGTACACATTTCAGGTTATTGCAAAGGCAACAAATAGAAGGGATGAATGGGTTCCCTGCAGAGGATGTATGTTCTCTGTGGGACAAAGGCAGAACTGCTGAATAGCTCTTGTAGAGCCCTTTCCTGGCAGCTCGTGGCTGTCCTTGGCATCAGCGGTCAGAGCTCCAGCCTTCGGAGCACAGAAACCTGGGTTCCCATCCGAGAGGCTCCCCTAAGCAGTCCTCTAACAGGTGAGTATATCATGGTCACTAATCTGGTGTTTTAGTTTTGGATCTTCCTAATTAGCACTCATTAGGTGACTCTTGCATTATTAGAAGCTCAGGAAGCACCATCCCCACTTTACAATGGGCGAAGTGAGGAGCAGGAATCTGAAATAGCTATTGAGTAACCAGTACCAGAGCTGGGATTAAAGCCTAAGCTCCTAGCCCTACCTTTTAGGCATTATATGCTCTTTCTTACCGAGGCAGTTGTGTAAAGATTTAAATGCCTTTGGGAAGAAGAATGAGAGATGGAGAAAGAGAGGAGAGCAAAAAGGCAGGTGGCTCTGCAGTGCCCCTTTGGAGATCACTAATAACAATATTTCCCAAACAACTAATGAGCTTTTTCGTGTGCATGGTGTCAGTCTGTCTTCCTGAGTTGGTGTATCCAGCAAAGCGTGAGGCTGGGGAGATGAACTGATTAATGCTCTTGGCTTTATCCATCTCTTTCCTGGAGCGTATCAGATCTTGTCAGGCCCTTTGGACTTAATTGCCTTCGAAAGGTGTGATTGCAGACCTGCCCGCTGAGGCACTGACACCAGCACGGCTCCTGGCAAAGCAAATGTCTCCTGCCAAAAGCTGATGTCTCGGGTGCCTTTTGCTAAATAAGGGACTTTTGGTGGAGTTAAACATTAACATCCTTCCCAGGTCCCGTCTGTCCAAGGTCCAAGAGGGAAGCCATGCTGAGTCAGCCTGGCACCCGTATTTCCTGCTCCAGCTCTCTCCTGCGCGATCCACTGGCTCCTCCTCTCCGTCCTGAATGAGACAGTTTGAAGGTGGCAGAGGGACACTTCAGCTCTCTTGGGCTACACCGTTGGAGATCAGCTCCTGGTACTGTTCCCTGGCTGGCCTACACGTAATCTTGGTGCAGCAAGAAGGGAAACTCATGGATACCAAAAGACCCACCTGAGCTGCAGAAGAATTTCCTTCAGCGGTTAGCAGCGCCGTGCTCGTGCCACACGGCAGGCCCTGGGCACCGTGGGGCAGCAAGCTGTGAATTCATAGTGCAGCTTATTGTTGTCTTGCTCTTCCCTGTGTGGATTGCTTTTATATGGGCGCTTTAAATAAAAAGGTAAATCCTTTTAACTGTGGCAGTTTCAAGAGGGTGCCCAGTAGCAGGGAAGGAGGGTAGGCAGATGAGAAGAGCTGGTTTATTTAATATTATTGCCACAGTATATACACTCCAGCACTGCCAAGTCTTTGGGCGTAGCCGGAGTCTGACATGGGAAATTGATTGTTCAGTGCTGGCTGCCTCTTGGAGCTGGAGCTCTGTGCTGTTTGCCTCGCACTGAAGCGTGTTGGAATAAGACCCAGCGATTGCTGCTCGTCAGCTCAGAGGCTGCCCGAGGCACCTATCCCACGCTGGTGGGAATTAGTTTTGCCTGGAAAGCAAATCGTTTACTTCAGCGTCGATGGAAGTTTGTGAAAGTGCAACTGCACAATCTCTGCTGAGCTCAGACCTAGAAACAGAGCCAAGAGTCTCGCTGGCTTTGGATAAAACTTTGCTGTGGTTACAGGCGTCATGGGATCATGTGATGGCGCAGCTGATCCTTCCAATATCCAGTGTTCTTGCTTTAGGCCTCTCCTGCTGCACAATAACACATTTAGAGTTCAAAACGTCACCTCCTTGCTAGGGCCGTCATTTATTGATACCAGAGTTATCGGTCGAGAGTTGTTGAGAAAGCTCCTCTGCCTCTTCCTGTGTTCCTGATTCTGCCAGGCTTCTTCCCAGCGGGCCAGCTCGCCCACAAAGCCTTCAGCATCCTCAGCAAAGGGATTTCTGCATAGCCACAGCTTCTCCTTCCAGCACAAAGGCTCTCTCTCTCCTACTCGGGACAGCGTGCCACGTCTGTCATTCCTCAAGTGCTTGGGTTCTCAGCCCAGTGATTTAAGGGGGAAATCAGGTCTAAGCTGGGCTCTGAGCCCCTGTGAGACATGTTGACAGAGAAATGTATGCCTTGAAACAACTTGAAAAGAATTCTGGGGAGGGAGGGGAGCAGGAAAGTGTCAGTTGTGAGCTGCCGCCCTCTCCTGAGATCTCTCTGCCTGCGAAGAGCACGGCCCTGCTTCCTCTGTGACCTCTTTCTTCCTGCAGGATAACGCGGGGGTAATGGCAGGCAGAAAGTCAGCTGCTCTGCCACAGGGTTAGTCCTCCGGGTAGATGAAAGGAAAGTGGTTTGGTGTCCAAATGAATGTCATGGCTTTAAAGAAGAATTAAAGCCAGATGTTTCCAACAGGCCTGCTGAGACCAGCCTTTTCTCTCATATTTGCCGAGGCACCAAGGAGGCCCCGCCAGTGTGTGCAGAGCTCAGTGTTGGGAGCACCCTGCAATGCCAACGGCTCCACCACAGCTGCTGGAGGGCAGCACACAAGAGCTGAGGCACAGTGAGTGCTGCCAGCTCAATATTTATTCAGTGTTTAAAAATATTTATTCCTCGCTGATAATGGTGATGGTAGCAAGGGTACAGGAACCAGACCAGATTTAGAACCTTTGGACAGAACCCTGGGGCCAAAACATGGTCTAGCTATGCTGGCGTCGGCTCTAATTTCGCTGGGGCCTTGCAGGCACAAGGCAGTGTGTCATGGTTAACAGAGCCCAGAACATCATCCCTGTCCCAGGAACTGACCTCAGACCCCCCCGATGTTCAGCCTAACAGGCAGGTCAAGCTTTTGCCATGCAGGGACTTCATCAGAACCAGGGGAAAATGCGTTTTATTCTTGCATCACACACGCAGTGTTTGCATTCGGCCATGACTGAAGCTAACGACTATTCCAGCAGGGCTAGAACAGAGGTGAAATACCGGGAAAAGGGAACCCAAATCCTTGCCTCAGCACTATCAGGGAGAGCAAGGGAGTAACCAAAACCTCAGGACTGCTGGGTGTGTGGTTCCAGCTCACACCCAGAAGTAATTAATCTTTTTGCCAGCGTAGCTGCTCCAGGCTTCTGACTACAATAGGTATTGCTCTTTTGCATTCGTCAGTCTGCCTGGTGGTTATAACATTCAACTTCTGGCCTCGTAAGGACAAATTCCTGATGCTGTGCCCTCAGCGCTACCTCGAGGTGGAGTTTCCTCTTGCGAAATCAGCGGGTGCTGAAAATGTCCTGTTGGCTCAGATGACTGGGAAAGGCTTTGCTCCCTGTTTGAGATGTACGTGTCACCGTCCTCATCTTCCTCCCGCCCCATCCTGACCGCTGAGCTGCCTGCTGCTCTGGAGACCCACCGTGCCACTGGACCCCTGTCTCTTGCTGGGAAATAAGGGATAAATTCAGAAGGTGCACCCGGAGCGAGCGAAAGAAAATAGAGCAGAGGGAAGTTAGTGGCAGGAAATCCCAGTTTTTACTGGCATCCGCTCATATCAGATAATTTGACCTATCACAAAAAATAAATCCCTCTGTAGTCCAATTCCACAATGCTGGGCAAATGACTGCCATAAAAAAAGGAGCTTTCTGCCATGCCCTTTATTTGTTCTCACAATATGACATCTCATTTCAGTCTGTGCATCAATTCATTCTGCTCTGTAACGTCAGGGACAGAAGGCACAATTGTTTCTGCTGTGGTTCCAAAACCAACTGTCGAGAGAAGGCCTTCGGGAGGAGAGCAGTGAGCCAGACAGCAGGCTCCCTGGCAGCACTGGATGGAGTTCAAGGAAAATTGTTTGCCTCGCCACCCTCCTGTAAGTTAACAGTAGATGGTGACTAACAGGAAAGAAACTTCACCAGGGTGTTAACACAAAAATGTTTGTATTTGCCTTCCAGATAGGTGGTAACGTTATCTGATTATAGCGTCTTCTGTTTCTTGAATTGTGTCGCTTCTGCATCGCTCCCTTAGAAGACAGAGAATTATTGTTACAAAGCATGAATTATTTACTAGCTTTATAGACTGGGCTTGTTTTTCACCCCATCTGCACTTAAAGCCAATGAGGTGGTGAGTGTGTAAGGACTCTGCCAAAACTGGAAGCCTCTTGCCTGATGTCCGTGGCGCTGACCGTTTACCAGCTGGGTGCTTCAGTGAAACGGGGAGATCCTGAGGGAGAAGGGCAGAACCAGCTTCAGGAAAAGGATCTAATCTGGGCATTGGCGATACTTAGGCCTGGGTTTGGCATCCTGTAGGATATCCAGGTATTCGGCAGGTTGGAAAATGAGGCTCAGGACTCTTGTGCTGCAATTTTTCTGTTGCTTAGCTCAGTTTAAAGCGATGAGCACACTAAAAATTAATAAGCAGATTTGGAGATAAAGAGGTCTGTAAAACAGGGATAATACTTAACTACCTCACAGGGGGCATCAGGATTAATGAGTTAATGTTTGCAGAGTGCTTTGAAGATGAAAAGTGCTAAGTCTGATTACATCTGGTGGGTGAAGTAGATGAGAACGAGGAAGAGGTTCTCAATTCCGTGCTGTAACTACAAGGTCTCGCTAAATACCATCACAAAGAACGACCTGAAGATGGTTTGCTCTCACACTGTCCTAGTTGGGAAGCCCCTGGCAGCAGATGGGTTTCCAGAATGGATTCTGCAGTCTGTAAATACCTAGTTCTCATTTCTCCTGCTCAGACTCACTTGGTTTCTCCTACTTTAGTTTCTTTTCTTCATTCACGTGTATCTTGGAGGCGCTGCTCAGCGAGACGCTGCAGAACCTGCCAGCGGTGCCGCCGGTGCGTGGTGAGGCTTCTAATCGCTCCCGTGGACCCTGATTATTTCCCTGGCTCGAACCTAATCACCCCCGATGTGCTGGGTCATGGTCTTAAGCGGGGTCTGGGGGCAGGGGCAAGCACAGAGGGACTTGAGAGCTGAAAACTTTATCCTCCCCCCAACCAACCCACCCACAGAATGTGGAAATTCCTTAGCGGATACTTCTTGGTCACCCCAAAACAACCCTGGTTCCCCTCAGTGTGCTGTAATAAGTTGTGTGGATCTTTCCCTGTTGCTCTAAAGCAAAATGGTTTCGATGTGGGTTTTCCTTGCAGGAATTCCCTGGGCGGCAGCGCTCCCCCCCGCTGTCCCCATGTCACGCCGGCCAGCGAGCGGAGGCGGTCGGCAGGATCCCGGGGCTGTCAGCAGGTGAGACCCGGGGCCCTTTCGCTGCTGCTGATCTCAAATGCGACATCTCTGCGACACGCAGAACCAACGACGGGCTCCGGTGGGCCCGGCCGAGGCCTTCCCGGAGCCACCAACCGGTCCGGCCCGGCCCTGTGGAGCCGCTGCGGGTGGATTTCAGCCCCTTCTCTGTGGGCGCTGTCTGGAGGAAGCCCCGGGCGCGGGGGCCGAAGGTCTCCTTGTCCCTGTGTCTCCCCACCCGTGCCCGGTGGTCGAAGACACCCCGGCCCCTTGCCCGGCTGTGGGCAATGGTGGGAGCGGGGGGGGTCTGGGGACAAGCCCGGGGTGTGACGGGCGCGCTGGGACGGCCGGCGGGGAACAGTCCCCCGGGATCCGGGAAGGGCCGGTCCCTCCCCGGGCATCGCCTCTGCCCTTCGCGGTTTCACCCGCCGCAGCCCGTGGGAGGTGCTGGGAGCGCCGGGCCTTGCCCTGTTCAGCAGTGACCCCTGCGGGCCGCCGAGGGGCTGAGCCGAAAAGAGGAATAATCGGGGGAAAAAAAACCCAACCAACCAA